TAATACGTGCATCTCCATGAACAGCACCGGTGAGTGTTTTTCTTTTTTGAGACCCTCAGAGAAAAATTTCATATTAAACTATTTAATTAAGTTGTGAATTTATCATCAATTTTTAATCATCAATATTCTTATTTATTTATTAATTTACTTTTATTTTTTTAAAACTTTATTATTTTTCGGTCATTCCGGGAAGTCCGTGTATTCCGGGTATTCCAAATATTCCGGTTCCGGTTCCGAATTCTGGCATTCCATATTTTCCAAACTACCGGTTGTGATTTAGTCTTTGTTTTTGAGTGCTTTAACGCGGCGTCCTTTTACGGCATCTGTCAACTGCACTAATGAACGCGTCTATTCAACTAGACAGTCTAGGTGCGTCTAAACGACATTCTGCCTCTTTAACCTACATAAAACCAAGCACCTGTTTACATAAAAGATTCAAGAAAGAATATTCTGAAACCTGAATTTGTAGTATTTTGATAGATCCGGCTAGCATCTAGCTCAACAAAAACCAGCGCAAAACCAATCCTGAATGGATCAGATTACCAAAATAAAAGGTCTGAAAAAATGCCAAGTCTGCATACATCAAGTAATGAAGTACAGTGGGCAATAGAAACAGGACAGGAATGTCAGTGAGTAAGGCTATTTAACCCGGTCATCATCCTTCAGTTTTAATCTAACTTGAGCATATTACGTCAAATGTGTTATAATTTTAAGGTCTCAAAAATGTACGGCATCAGTCATTTTTTTGTTTGTCAGTGGACCCAATGAACCGAACCTGCCTCAATCAACCAACGCTGTTCTAAAAAGCAGCGTCACAAAGTTACTGGCGTGAGACTACAATAAGTGAAAATATGGGTTTTTTTTCTGTTATTTTTCGATTGATTGATTTTGCCCTCTGGCAGGCATTCATTTGTCACATCAATAATTGTATGATTAATGTACTTACTCTTTTGTATAACTTCCAAGCGAGGCTGTGCCCAAGTACTTTGTGACATCCATGTGTTTCACAGAGGGACGTTCGTTTCAGAGCAGAATAAGTAGGAGTTATTTTAAACAGAAGTCCTGTAAAGAAGAAATCGTAAAAAAGGTTTTTTTATTATTATGCATAAATAAGGACAGAACTTCTTTAAAATTCACCCGCCCATGGCTTGCAATTAAAAATGAAACGGAGTGTGTCGTCTTTGAATCATTGCGTGGGGACTATATGTGATTTTTTCATAACTTCATATGTTAGCCACTTTTCATTTCTATGCTAATCTAGTTTATGCCCTAGTACCTTCGGTGCGTTGGGGATTTTGGAAGTTCAGTTTGTTCTAAGTCACAAATTGCGAGCTGAATATCAAATTACTGCGAAACAGTTAGACAAGCCAATATCGACTGTCTCGTAGCTGAACTTTTGTTCAACGGTCAGTAGTCATCTTTGTGACGAGACGAAAGTTTATCTGCTAAGATATAAATAACTTCGTGAAAGACCTTAGTTTAAGGATTTTTCTAAGATCAGAGTAAGTTTCCTTTGAACTATGTTGTAGCTACGCTATTCATAGAAACTAAACTACTTCGGCTCGATTTGCGTGAAAGTAAAATTCTAGAAAGACCCATTCGCGCCTTCGTGAACTAGTGCAGAGTAGATCAAATTACCATCCATTGTTACAACCTGAGTTAAATTCCACACTATTTTAAAGAAATCACGTGAATTAAGTTTACTGGTCAGGAGAAAATCAAAACAAAGCAAAAAAAAAAATAAACTAGAAGATCAAAGTAAAGGTATCTCCATGACAACATATTTCCGTACCAGATTATCATCATTCTTGGACTGGCTTAATTTTTTTTCAGCCGGTTGTGAAGTTGAACAGATGTGTCTGTGGAAGCCATTGGTGGTTTGGTGTAAAGTAATGAAGTAAATCGGTCAAGAGAAAGAGGACAGGAATTATATTGTTAAAAAACAGGAAGGTATTTCAGTGACAGCTGCTAATACTTGATCATCTTTGGCCAGTAATTACCTTAATCTAAACGGAATGAGAGTCTAATTTGTCATTATGAGAGCTCAAGGTTGTACGGGTTCATATACTTTTTGCACTCCAGCACGTTTGTGAATTCAATGAACCGAACTGGCCACAATGCACGTCACAAAATTACTCGCGTGAGACTACAAAAGTGAAACTATGTTTTTTTTTTCCTCTTCCAGGTATTCGTCTGTTGCATCAAATCTTTAAGAGCGGCATTGCTGTGTCTCAAATAATATTACCCCAGTATTGATCAGAATGCTGTCGCCTCGTTGGAGAAAGAAGAGCTTCGGCACTGTGGATTAAAGTCTTTCTCTTAAATTCCTTTTTGTGTACTTAAAATGAATTTGGAATAATTTTATTAAAAGATAAGAGATAAGAGACAACATTTTATATAAAATGATGATGGTTTTATTTTTATCACTAGTTGTTTGATGGGTTCTTTCCCTTTTTTTACAATCGAAAAGTGATTTCCATCTAGGAAGTCTATTGCTATGTTCACTTTACTCGTCATTTTGTCGCTATGGCTGGAAAGCCACATGCACCTAGGCATCATTTTCATCATCAAAAAGATTTATCGTTTGCTGTAAAAAAAAAAAGAGAAAAAGTGTTATGGGGAAAGACAATTCAAAAACAAAACAATTTTCTGAAAAAAAACGCACCATCGCCGGACACATTAAAAATAAAAAGAAAGCCTTTCTTTGTATATATAGTTGGGATCATGTATAAAATTGTCAGTCATGGTTACAAGTAACTTTTTTACTTTACCCATGGCCAGGGCAGCAACAGCGCGCTCCCTCTGGGCAGCCCTGATGATCTTTACATTCAACGGAGGAGTGGGAAGGACAGATCTTATACCAATCCACACATGTTCCACTTCCAAGCATGGAGCCGCACATGAAGTCTGTAAGGAAAAAAAAAAGAGATGTCGTTACTTTCTGATCCTTAAAGCTAATACAATTATATGACTTCAGTTGACTGAAAAAAAAAAACTCACGCGGCTGACGTTTGAAATAAGAACGTAGCTGGGTCCTGTGCTTCTTGGTTTTGGCATGGCTTGCACCCAGTACTTCAATTACTCCCAACAAAACCAAGATCAAACACAAACGAAACGTCGCAGTCATAGCTATCTATGAGACACAAGTAAACGAGATAATCTGGGTTAGACAAAATCTTCAGATGAAGCAACAGCGTCTAGTAAACGAGGGAAGAACGAAGAGTAACCGCCTCACTTACCTTCGCTAGAGTTTCCAGTCGCAGAAGATTTTGTAAATAACTGAACGACAAATGAAACACACTGTTCGAGATTCAGAGCGTTTCTGATAATCTAAAGATATGCGCCAAGCTATAAGATGGTTAATTATCTGATCAAGGAGGCTTGAAGTCTATTGTGTGCTTGAGTGGTTGTCAGTGAGTCTTTGTTTTTGCGGCGTCCTTTTACAGCACTAGTCAACTGCGCATGTGCACTAATGAATGCGTCTATTCAACTATTCAACTGACTCTTTAACCTACATAAAACCAATTGCCTGTTTACATAAAAGATTCAAGAAAGAATATTCTGAAACCTTAATTTTGTGGCATTTTGGTAGGTTCAGCTCAGGATTCAACTAAAACCCAATCCTAAGTGGATCAGATCACTTTATAGTCAAAATAGCAGGTCTGAAAAAAAAAAAAAAAAGTCTGTATACATCATAAAATATAAAGTACACTGGGCAATAGAAACAGGACAGGAACTTCGGAGCAAATTAATGTTGAGGTTGATTTAACTAAGTCATCATTCTTCAGTTTCAATCTTGACTTCCGTATATTATGTCAAATATGTTACTTTAAAATCTCAAAAATGCATGGACCCAATGAACCGAACCTGATTTAAGCTACCGACGCCGTTCTAAAAAGCAGCGTCACAAAGTTACTAGCGTGAGACTACAATAAGTGAAATTATGTTTCTTTTTTTCGGTTATTTTTCGATTGAGTGTTTTTCCCTCTGGCAGATATTTATTTGTCGCATCAATAATTCAGGACGTGTGCTGCATTTTTTCAAATTCTATTGCTCGAGTATTGATCATTATTTTGTTTTCTCGCGGGAAAGGGAAGATTTATCCAACAAATTATCAAGTTTTCAAGAAAGAGGGCGCCAGAACCTTTTTTCTAAACTTTTGGGATTTGCATTTTTATCCCAGAGTCGACGCAGAGTCGTCAAATCAAAAATTGGTTTCCTTCAAAACTGATCAATTCGTTTGTCAAGTAGCAAAGATGTTTAAAAATCAATTAATTTTCCATGGAAAATAAAGGTTTTATTGAAACTCGAAGTTTCTTTGTGTTCTTGAGCGTTTTGTTGTGCCTGTTTTCTGTTGTTATTTTAATGCTTCCTTTTGTGGTTTGACCCGTGTGAAAATTACTTCCAGCGACACTCTGCTCTTTTTTTTCCCAAGTAGTAAACAAGTTCTCTGTCAGAGATATTAATGGGCTCAAAGTGGAGCTTCTGTTCCGCTTCGGATTATATAGTGCTATTACACAAATTACAGTGGAGAATAAAATCAAAAACAAGATATTAGGTCTCGTTTCTGTAGAATACAACATATTTTAGATAAATGCTTCATTAAAGCTTTAAACTTCTTTGTGTACTTGAGTGTTTTGTTTTGCCTATCATCTGTCTCTATTTTAAAGTCACCTTTTATTTTACCGACCTTTTTGTCTGATTAACGAACCTACTTCCAAGCCTCAAATACTTTGTAACAATGCATGTGTTTAATGGAGCGGCGTACGCTTTATAGCAGAATATGTAGTAGTTATTTCGAACAAAACTACCGAACAGAACAAAATCTTAAAAAATATTTTTGACTGCGTTTCTGGGGAGATCAATAGATTTTGATCCCAAAATTAATCGGCCATTTCTAAAATTCACATGCCACTGACTCAAACGGAGAGTGTCCTGTTTGAATCATTGCGTGGGGGTTCAATATGATCTTTTCAGAACTTCATGCGTTAGCCATTTTTTTTTCTATCCTTATTTAATTTAGTGCTTGAGCATCTTTGGTACGTTGGGGATTTCAATAGCTCAGTTTGTTCTATGTCACAAATTTCGAGCTGAAAATTAAATTATTTTGGAACAGTTAGACAAGTTAACTTGGACTGTCTCGTAGCCGAGCTCTGCCGTTCATTACAATAATTTTAGAGCAAGACAGAAACTCATCTGCTGGTATATATAAACCCCTGAAGAGTGAAGCGATTCACGAAACAGGCTTGTCGGGAAATGTAGTTACGTCCTTTTTTCCTCTCACAATATTTATTCTGCTCTGCTTCAACGTATCGAGCACTGTTCCACGCGAAAATCGACTTGCAGACTTCCTATATATATATATATGTATATATATATATATATATAAAGTGTGACTTGATTTTCGTAGAACAGTGCTCAATACATAGAAGTAGAGCGAAGTATATATTGAGATAGAATAAATATATGAAAATCATATATTTTGAACTGCGGTATTTGATACGTATGATGCACGATCCTCGCAGTAGATAGCGCTATTTAAGCAATAGCGAAATTCAGACCTGAAAAAAATCAGGCCTGTACGGGACTCGAACCACTGACCTCTGCGATACTAGTGCAGCGCTCTAACCAATTGAGCTAACAAGCCAACTGAGAGCAGGCCGTTAAGTTGATTCGTAATGAACCCGTGAAAGTGATAAATGAGATAGAATAAATATATGAAAATCATATATTTTGAACTGCGGTATTTGATACGTATGATG